CATTTATAATTAAGGGGGAAGAAGCCCGAGCTCGTGGGGGAGGTTGAGAGATACCGGCTAGATATATAGTCGGCCTCACCTCCACACACAGGTTGGGCTCTGGAACCCAGCTCCTTGGGTGGGCTTGGACTCTTTATTTCCAAACCCGCCCAAGTTTGGGAGAGGTAGCGAGCAGGGGTGGCCATACTTATTGCCCCCCCATCTCAGCCGCCACGTGTTGGAGTTCTTCCCTGTCCCCCACCCTCCGCCTTCGGGTGGGGGACAAGTCTCTCACTGTTTGTGACAACCTACGGGGCTAACAGCAGTGCAGAGTACCCGGCCTTCTTGAAGTCCCTGGGAGGGGCACCGACTGGGGACTCAGTTATTCTCCTGGGGGACTTCAACGGCCATGTGGGAAACGCCACTGACACCTGGAGAGGGGTGATTGGGAAGAACGCCCCCCTCTGATCTGAACCCGAGCGGTGTTCAGTTGTGGGACTTCTGTGCTAGTCACATGTTCTCCACCTCTATCGCCATTGCAGCAAGCTCGTTGCTGTGGTCTTAAGGTCTCTGGTGCTGTTCCGGGCGGCAACCCGGTGGTGGACACCGGCGGTAATGAATGCCGTCAGGCTGAAGAACGAGTCCCTTCAAGCAATGATGGTGTCGTGGGACAGCTGAAGCAGCTGTCCAGAGTACTGGCAGGCCAAGCGTGCCGCAGCCCGGGCTGTTGCAGAGGCAAAAACCGGTGGACTGGGAGGAGTTCCGAGAGTCCCATGGAGCATGACTATCGGTCGAACCTCGAAGAGATTCTGGAAAGTTGTTCCGGCGCCTCAGGAGGTTGCCAACACCGTGTACGGTGCAGTGGAGAGCTGCTGACCTTGACTGGGGATAGTGTCGGGCGGGTGGAAGAATACTTCGAGGTTCTCCTCAATACCCCGTCACGTCCTCACGACAATCTAAAGTCTCTGGATGTTGTAGGACTGTCATGGCTGACACTCTCTACAACATCGCGTGGCAATCGGGGGTGGTGCCAATGGAGTGGCAGACCGGAGGATGGTGGTTCCAATTATCGGGGATCTCACACCTCCACAAGGGTAAGAGAGGAGACTTCGAGGGTGTGTGTCCAATTCTATCGGGGATCACACTCGCCCCCCACCGTCCCCCTTCTTTGTATTTGGAGGGTGTTCTACCCTGTTCCCCGGGTGTCCATTGGGGGGGTCTTCTGCTGAGGGCCGTCCGGAGATGACCCGAGCCAGAGCTTCGGCATCGCTGATGAGTCAGACCTGTTCCCGGTGCAAGTTGGGCTCCGCCACGGCGCCCCTTTGTTCAACCTGATCTGTTTCACTGTCTTTATGGGACAGAAGTTTGTCCAGAAGAACCAGTTGAGGTGTCTCGGGTATCTGTTCGGATGCCCCCGATGAACGTCTCCCTGGGGAGGTGTCCGGGCAGATCCCACCCGGGAAGACCCAGAACACGCGGAGGGACTATGTCTCTCAGCTGACCTTAGGAACAAGTCGCCTTGGGTCCCCCGACTGCTGGAGGAAGGGGAGTGGACAGTGAAGGCGGGAGACAGGGCGTTTCTTCAGAGTGGAGTTTTTGCATGTTCTCGGGGACCCCCCTGCCCTGGGATATTTCCTCTGGGGTAACTGCCGTTCAGGGTGAATGACATGTGTAGTGTGATTGTGAGTGCGAACGTTGTGACGACGGATGCAAAGTAGCAGTACTGCGGCCCAACAACGATGACATAAATAAATAAATAAATAAAAAGGTCGTCGTTTTATTGTGGGGGTTACACAAAAATAACCTCCCACCCCCCCAAATAAGCGAATCCGGGTAGGTCCACTCTTATGTTTTAACGCTGTAAAACCCCATACACCACACCTCTTCTAACGCCCCCAAGTCACGACTGCTTTAATTGCGATGTCAGAATAGCAAACCTATTTGTTTGCAGGTCCTGAACGCTGCCTTGCAACTTGTCAAACAACTGTGCATGTACATATAAAAATACATCTGCCAGAAACACCAACACTAGTCCTCCGACCTAATAACTGCAGTGGCACAACAACAAGTCACAGAAAGTTTTCTCAGACTTTAGGTAACTTCAAAGGTATACTCTGAGTTATATGATATTTTGTTTTGACATTAATATGAAGAGTAACTAATGGTTGTATTTCATTGACATTTTTTCATTGCTGTCTTATAGCAAATAGTTTACAAACCACAATTCTCATTCACTTTATGTTTACAAACACTGAGATAATTGTTAATATTACAACTGAACCTAAGCCACAAATATCTCAATATAGTGGCTGTCAACTGATGTACTTTCAAAACCATAGATGAGTTTTTTGTGTTTTGAACCCTCCACTCGCTACTAGGGTGTGTGAACTTGGATTGCATGTTCGAAAGAAGAAATCTCAGGTGTAATTCAGTTTGATGGAATAAATATGTTTCAAAAACTGCACATGGAGTGTATGGATTTCATAAAATGACTCCTTTTGCGACGACGAAGCCCATTGGATGAAGAGCATCCGATCCCCTCTGGAGAAGTCAAGAAGCCTTCGGAGGATGTCACCGAGCTACAGAAGAAGTCAACGGAGGTACCGTAACATACTATTCGTCACCATCATAATAATGGGGAATGCAACTCACTTCACCATGTTGCATCTACCAGGACTGTAGCTTGTATTGCTTATCTGGAATGTGGCTACATGACATCATACCTGAATCAGCTCAAATACAGAATCATCTTTTTAGTGCCACATAAGTAGGAGGAAGTCACAGACTTGGACAATGGTCACGGATCATTTAATTCATTAGGAAATGGAGATGGATGGATGGATGGTAGCGCTGGGGTCAGTGTGGGGATAACAAGAACTTTTTAAATCTCGGCCAATCAAATTCTATATAGGCTATACTTAAATCAGGTAAAACATCGAATTTGCCATAGTATAAACCTCAAAAGGTACAGTGTAATTTTTATACGCATCTAGCACCTTTGATAGACAGTATGTCGTCATTGACAGTGCGTCACTCAAATCTCAGTCATTCACTGGACTGCAAGGAAAGAATCCTTATTTTGCTAAATGACAGGATCTCTCTCCACATGGTGATTGCCCTCTTGACATAGTCGTCGTGGAGGCAACCTCTAAGCAACGACAGCGTTATGAAAAAAGCGGCACCTGCGGCAGCAGAGGGTTCTTTGAGTTTTTACCCATGGACTAGTGATTATTAATATTTTTACCAAACGACGCGTAGTGAAGAAGAAGAGACGCATGAAGGATAACGACTTAAAACTCCACGATGGTTCCAGAGGCCAAGGAAATAGTCTATATTGACCTCGGATTCGGGTCAGAAACATCCCTAACCCTGCAGAGTCTGCCTCTGTCCATTACTCGTTGGTGTGAAGACAAATACTGTCAGTGTGAAGAAAGTTATGTATTGTTTACGTGTGAGTCTGTTTAGTACAAACTACACAATTATGCCTCCTGTTGTTTAAAACTCCTGCCGTTCAGTGCGTGTGGTTTGCGATGTTGAACACTGTAAAAGCTCTGAGGCCGGGATCTTTGTGCATAATTACTTTTCAAAAAGATTGTTGATTAGGGTCATACTTTATAAACTGTGGTCCCTCCATGTTGAGTGGGGTTCTTTATACATAACTTGTGGACCTCCATTGGTTCTTTTACATAACTAGTGTGACCTCGCATGGTTCTTTACATAACTGTACCTCCATGGTTCTTTTACATAACTTGGTCCTCCATGGTTTCTTTTACATTACAGTGGTCCTCCATAGGTTCTTTTACATAACTGTGGCCCTCCATTGATCTTGTTATACTAACTGTGTTCCTACATGGGTTTTTTTTACATACTGTATCCTTCATGGAATTCTTCCTTCAAACTGTGAGGACTGCAGTGACAGCGCAACTATAACATCGCACTCTGTGAACGAACGCAATTCGCGCGTCTTTTTGGTCCCTTATCCACCACAGTATTTCAAGATGCCGCGTGACATGGATATACTCTGCCTCATGGACATTATAATTCTAAGATGATTTTATTTATTTTTTTAAACATTGAGAGGTAAATAATCTTAAAAAGGTCACATTGTGTTTATTGGTAAACATGTATTTTTTTTTTCATATGGACGCAACTCTAAAATTACACAGGGTGGGTTAATTTGTTGAAATAAAATTAATATGATATGATAACGAACAAGCGCATTGATCTAAAAAAAACCAAACTGTTGATAAAAATGAGTCTGACTGTGGCATAGTATTCAGTTCTTCCTATTCTACTAATATGTTAGAAGTATTAAATATCTTAGGAATAGTCCTAAACATGTTGGCACCCTAATTAACCTCTGTAATAGTTCACCTATGTCCTTGAAGAAATACTAACAGTAATTTTTTTTTATATTTTTTTTTAATGTAGACATTAATAACAGATGCAGTTTGATGAAAAAGTTGCTACTAAAACCAAGGAGATTCCCCAAGGAGGTAGATTTTCCGTTGCAAGCATGCTTCAAGTAATATTATATATTAAAACAATGAAAAGTTGATCTAGGATATAACCCTATCGTCTAAATGTTTGCTATACAAGTAAATAGGGCTAATTACATAGTGTTATGCCATTGAAGTTGGTATTAAACGGGAGCCAGTCAAATAGAAAATACCGAGGCTATATATTCAAAAGATCTAAAAATTTTTGATTTGGGGGCCTTTTGTGCTGAAAGAGCGACACAGAGCTGGCTACTTATCTCAGATGCGAGATGGGCTTCATTACGTGTGAAAGCCTGGCCCCCTGCTGACAAGAGCTCAAAATATGTAGCACAGCACAGAAAAAAGTAGCTAGTCATGCATGGTATTTACAATTGCAAGCACTGACACCAAGTGCAGAATACGAAAAGGCGAATATATACCATTGATTTTTTTTGTACAAGATAACAGCCATTTTCATGCACCCGCCGCACCTTGCTCAATAAGATCCCGCTGGTCGGTACCATGGCTCGTCATCATCCGGACTCAACTCCTCCATCGTACCCGGGCCGGAGCCATCGGGAACCGCTTGATGTGGCCCGTTTCTTCCCCCGCTGCACCCAAACAGAGCCCGGGGCGATGGATGGGAATGAGAGGAGGGGAGGAGAGAGCGACCGGAACCCTCAGGAAGTGACCACCACGACAACCCCCACACACACACGCCCCCCTTCCCCCCTAATTAGAGTATAAAAATGCACTTTCCTCCATTTTCATTAAACCTATGTGCACCTCTTTGTACCTTTTCGAGTTAAGTTGCCTGATATAGTTTCGAAGGCAAAGATGCAAAACATTGAAAAAGTGGTAGGAAAAGGGAAGAAGCCTTAGCTACGGGCCCATCAGTCAGTCCAGCATGGCTTTGGCTGAGTTCAAAGTGGTTGGTACGGGCCGTAGGCCGTAGAATGGTTTCACCAGGGCTATTTATAGATGGGACTGGCATGTGATTGGAGCATTTAGTTCTCTCTGGCGGGAAGCTAGGTGCTTCTGGAGTATACCCATAGCGAAGCCTAAGGGGCTACGCACCATTCGTAGAACTTGAGTTACATTAGGTAACTATCAAGTCTCACCTATTCATTACAATTATCTTTTTTGTTTACCCGTTTTGGGTTAGGAGGGTATGTTGTCATTGATACACAAACTTCTGACTTATTTTGTTGCTCTGGTATTCAATTTAATTTATTGTATTTTAATGTATGTATGTATTTTGTAAATATTGCATGGTCTCATGGTGTACCCATGACACCTTAAAATCAGCACAGTGTCAGCTGCAACACTCATTGTAAAATGCAATAAAATTCTCCATTTCTTTTATTGCAAACAGTTTTCTCTAACCCATGAGTTGAATGAGCATCTGTAAGTGTTTTTACTATCGTTTGATCCAGTGCAGCACTCCTGCAATCCCTTCACAGAGCTTGTGATATGTTGGAAAAACTGCTGAAAAACCAATTTATCCAAAGACAAAAAAAACATTAATTTTCCTTATATCCAAAATGTACAAGGTACATTCCACCATATAGACCTGCCATCCATTCTAACGTCAGATTATGAACACACTCAAAGTTTTCCCTTCTTTTCAAACATGCATTTCTCTGTGCCAGCTGGACATGTGGAAGTCATTTTTCTCGTGCACAGGCCCTTACAGAGGCCCCGGCAGAGCCCATCTTTACCAGTTTACAGACAGAGCTAAAGGCATCTCATTTACCTTTCTCATGTTCATCTGCTTCTTGTAGAGATCTGAAAACTCCTTCTTCCTCAGCAAACTTTCCTTATCATCCTCGTCACTTTCGTCTTCATCGTGTCTTTGAAATATAACAGTTTGTGATGAGAATTCACATGTGTGCATCGATTTATCTGGTGGCCGCAGTCTAACTTGAGCAGATTTTGTTTCGCACTTACAAGGTTTCCCGTTTTTGAAGAAAACAGGGAAAGCATAAAACAAATTAGAGGTTGGTGAAAAAACTGGGTAGAGGAAAGCCTCTGTATAATCCCTTTTATTCCCAAGTAACCAATTATACAATTTTGAAAAAAATATATATAAAAAACAAACTTATTTCATTGTAATAAACTTTAACTGACAACTGGTCAGTATAATGTTTTGCGCAATTATGATGTTTTGAAGAACTGTAAAATAAAGTTAAACAACCTAACATTATTATTGATTATTTTTATAATTTCCCCTCCCACACCAATCAAAGTGTTCTCATACCTCTCAAAGCCATAGCCCTTCCGGCCCCCTTCATACTGGCCTGCAATGAAGCCGAAGGGACCGGCCGGCTTCTCATGGGTGGCATGGGTGCGCGTGCTGAGGACCGCGGCTCGGGCAATCTGGGCACGCACCGCTTTGGGATTCACGCAGAAGTCGCATGAGCCAGCACACTTGGGAGGCTGGTCCCCGAAGAACTTTGAGACGGTGGCATGGCGACATCTGCAGAGGCAGATGTGGGATACGAGTCAGTATTAAAACATTATTTTTGGCCGTTAAAAATTACCCGTATAATGAGACCATTTACTTTGTCATTGGATTGTAAATATTCAATAGAAAATATATGATGACATAAGCATGAATGTCTCTAAGCTACCACAAGAGAGGTGAAATGATTTTTTTTAGCTTAATATTAGTCAGTCCAAAACCCTCATGGGCCGTACTATAACAAGGTCCATGACATTGCCTCGTTTTCACAAAGTGGAATGTAAGTCTAATAAAGTCATCAATTGCAATCACACTCGAGTTATCAGAATGTTCCTGCCTCCTAAGCATTTTGACTACTTATTGTTGCATCTGCTTTCATTCATATTTGAAAAAAAAGAGCCAAAAGCAAATAAATGTGGCACCCAAAATGAGAGCCTCATTCCGGCCTCTGATTGGATAATCAGCTTAAGAATCGTAAACATAAATATTTTGTTCATCATGCCCATTGTATTTTCAACAAACTCACTGCCTGCCAGCACATTTCAGAACAGGTACTCCCATATTGCCAGCAGTTTCTGATGATTTTTATTTATTTTTCAAGACCCACAGAATATTGTGTACTATGACATCCGAAACCGGATTCTGAAAGAATAGACTTTCTACTTTCATCAGAAAAAAGAATTTTGTTTCAAGCTTGTTTCGTTCACCTGTAATCCCCAGTCGAGAATAGGTAAGTTTTACTGAAATCAAAAGTCACAAAAACCTGAGAAAAAGAGGCGCAACAAGTGCATCCCGTTTTCAAAACATACAGAGGCAGCGCTGGTGCCACCTGCTGGCTCGATAAAATATGCTTTACATATTGGATATAATAGACATCTGGGAACATGAAAAAAGTGAAAACCGCATTTGACGTTTTAACATGCAATGGCACACAGCCATACTATTTAATTGGATGACAATGGCAGACAATGAGTTAAGCATAAATCAGATTAAAACTATTGTTGAGAAAAGGTCAAATATGAACTTGTGAACTTATAGGACATAAGGTCAGCAATGTTCTTTCGCCTTCATATACAAATATAACTGTAATTTTAAAGAAAATATAACATAGAATCCCTTTAAAAATGTATTATACATTATTTAGACTGTTGAATAAATCACTTGGGAATGCTTTATAATACAAACCAAAGTGACATTTCTGGAGTGGCCACCTCACCACCTAAATGTTTACAGGAGGGGCAAGTTCACAGCCAAAAGAGGAGGAGAGAGTGAAAATAGTCACTCCCACACCCACACACACACCCACTTGCACAGTATGTTTACACGTCCTTCCAAACCCCATAGAACTGTTATTTTCCTCTGCACACATCTGCACCTGCTTCAGTGTTGCCCCGGCTGAAGCTGCCCTACATCTTAGCCTTTGGACTCCTGCTCGGCCTGACGCACTGACCTCAACAAAATCAGCAGAGAAAACTTTCACGTTTGTGGATTTGGGCTTTGAGTCTTGGGTGTGTGGGAAAGAGGCGAAAGGTGAGCAAATGAAAGTCTTAAAAAAAGGGAGGAATTTGAAGTATGTGCCCAAAGAAACAGCCGATATAGTGGTGCAGATCTAGGTTACCCTTTTTACGTTGAAAAGTTGTTACATAGAGTGTTCAAAGCTGAAATATGTAAATTGGATGCAGATTGTTCCCAAATGGTAAATTACGTTCTAGCATTGGAAAGTGGTGTGGAAAATGTGCAAAAGTGAGGGAAATTAGATATTATAAAAATGTTAAAGCTGGAGTAACCAACATTATCCCATGAATATTACATATTTAACCCAACTGAAGTCCCAAGTCAAAATCTGAAGGACAGACCAGACCATAACTTGCTGGTTTTCAGGGTTCTTTCTTACATTAGCTAAATATGTACTTTCTGTCCCTTGTTCAAAACAGATTGGTTGTATAATTGGTTTCCACATGCAAATCAGCTCTCAGCCCAATGTGTCAAATAGTGACTTACAAGGCTCTTACTAACAGGTGTGCAAAAGACAACATAAACGTTTTCTAATCATTCTGAATCACTGTTGTCTGATTTGTACACAACATTTTAACCTTAACCCAAAAATTATGTACCCCAGCTTTAAAACAGGGCAAAGTACTATTAAGAGCATCTCAATGAAGAAACTATAAGATGCTTTATGTAATTATTGTACGTTTGCTAAAAAGTGTATGTGTAATGCTCAAACTTGCTCTACCACACCTCAGTGCACAGGAGTAAACAGGCAGATATTGTTCCACCCAGGGCAGACATGTTTTCTTTACGTGTCAGGTCTTATATTCAACAAAAAACGTATGTTTTTAAAACCCACTCGCATTGTAAAAATTCCATGCAGCCCAAAATCCACATGCTTTAAATTAGTGTGGCCTTTCACTCTCTGGCAGATCCTCCCACTTAAGGCCAAACGCATGTCGTGCATGGCGAGGTAAACAAGAGGCTGTATGGAAAAAAAAATAGATAATGTTTTTCAGAAATATTTTAGAACAGCTTTATCACCAAAGTTCCTCTAAAAAAAAAAAAGAAAACACAAATCACAAGACAATGAAATATCAGTATCAAAGAAAATTCATAAAGTGGTATGTTCAAATTTTTGGTATTTTTTCCTCCAAATCGGGTTAGCGTAGAGCAGAGTATAGTAGAGTAGGACCTAGTAGGGCTGGTGGAAACAGGGCTTAATTCAAAGCTTATCATCCATCACAATCAACACAAAGACACGGATGCTATGCGCACCACATCCTGCTGCCTTTCTCTGTACTGTTGCCTTCACGCTAATTGTGCAAACAATACTTTTATGTTTTGGACAGAATGGATCCAGCCGAAGAGTCGCTCAATCTCCTTAACAAGCTCTGGCTCAAGTTACAGAACCTTCCCAACGCTAGCCCCATAGAACTGGGAGCCTTCTTCATTCTCCTGATGTTCATGTGTAAGTTGCATGAATACAAGGGCATTATTCGCACCAATACTGACCTCAATCCTTAAACATAAATAATAATTGGCCAGAAATCTTGCAACTTGTCAAATAATTAGTCTACTCTATTCCAGTCTATTTGAAACACCAATGCTGCAACTCAATTAAACATTTATTAGGCCACACAACATGTCTCATGTTGTAACACAGTCCTACTCACTGTAAAGTACTGTCTTATTCTCAAACTGACTGTTTAACCCACTGGTTTATTTTATATCATATGGAATATATATACACTCACATGTTTGAAATACAAATAATAATTGATTGAGTTCAGTCATAATCAAATTCAAGAGGTAGATCAAACCCAGGACCTTCTTGCTGTGAAACAAGTGCTAACCACTGCACCACAGTACCGCCAAAAATGTCTATTTATTTATGTAAGAATTTAAAATGTGCAACTAATGTATGATATAGTCATTATTTTGTTATAATGTTGATGATCACATTAACTTACATTTTCAAATTTGTTGTTTTATGTGTTTCCAGTGTTGGTCTTAAGCATGATGATATTCTCCTGTGCGATTTGCTGCTGTTGCCGTAATGCCAGGACAAAAAGCTCATCTAATATTTGAGAGAACGCCATGGAAGAAGCTCTCAAAGTACCATAGGAAGTGGCATGTTTTATGGATTTCCAGCGAGTCTATTTAAAGTGGCAGGTGCACATGAGGTTGCGAGCCGTCTTGGGTGTGTCTGCATGCACTACATGGACACAGTGACAAAACCAGAAAAGAATCCAACTAAACCACTGCGCAAAGCAGTCCTGTGCCGTGTGGAGAGAGGACCCCGTCCAACGTCGGTTTAAACACAGGTTCAATAGAAGGTGTTCTTCATATAAACTTCACACTTTTGTATAGTTTGTAAAGATTGTTTGTAGCAGTGGTTCTCAAACTGGGCTCTTTAAAGCTGGGGTGCGTAACTTTTAAACTACAACAATGAAACAACTGTACGTAAATTAAGTAAGGATTAATGCAAAGAACGGAGGTCATTATCGGAAAATAAGTATCGACAGGGTGGACAGGGTTTGCGCCCGCCCTGAAGGTCCCGCTTATTATATGGCTTTGTGCCAACTGAACACACAAAATAAACTTCAGTCCACTTTTATGAATGCCAAAAGATATATTTAAAGACTCCAAATAAAATAGTTCCCAAAGGTTTTGCCATGCTGTGGCTAGGCGACTAACAAGTTAGGCTAGCTACTTCAAAACTAGAACTTTCTTGAACTACATGAAAACTGAGCATTGAGTGACCCATATATATAACGCTATCTTCAACCTAAGTCCATTAAATCCTCTGCAAATGCGTCCTAAAATGTTTTATAATTGTTAATGGTTACTTCTGTATTAAGTGTGTGGCCATGTCCCCAAACACATGGTGGTTGCAAGTGTTAGAACACACAACGCCAAGCTATAAATATTTCCTCATTACATCACATTAGTGGAAGAACCAGCCATACTTAAGAGTTTCCAAGCCCACTCAGGAAATACACAATTGCTACATGCATGTGAATCCATGTAGCAATTGAATGTGCACGGGAATGTGTCATAATATGCCTTATTATTATTATCATTATACATTATTTTTTGTGTTAAACTCTAGTTAAAATCAAATGTAAATAAAAATGTATTATTTGTAAGTGTGTTTTTCTTACCCCTCCTGCTCACAGAACTTCACCATGGCTTCAAAATCCTTTATCGCGGCTTTATCAGACTCTTTCATGGACCCTCTTTTTTTCTGTGAGGACATTAAAGATAAATTGACAAATTTTTGCGAACTAGCAGTATACTCATTTGAATTGTCTGCCATCAAAATAAAAAAAGAGTTTCTATCATACAAATTAAATTATACGTATAGTTAATATTTACAAATCCCTGCATTTAGATGCAGGGATTTAGAAATAATTCATATAAATGTTGGGTTGATAACATTGTAGCATCTTGAATCCCCATATTATTAACATATGAGCTTTATTGACCTGTCGCCGACTGACTTCTTGTTGAATGAGAAAGTAAATTTGTTCCTTGTCTTTAGCGGAGTAGTAGGTTCGACAGGAGGATGGGAGGCCATCTCTGCCAGCTCGACCAGACTCCTGGTAGTAACTGCCCAGGGACTTAGCAAGGTTCCAATGAGCTACAAATCTGTGGGGAAAATTAATATGTTGCATTGTTTATGAATGAAAGCCAAAAAAAAAAAAAAAAAAAAACATAGCATCACATGCCTATGACACACGTAATTTTCTATCAAAAAAAATAAATCACACATCTGACCATAGCAGCCCACAAGGACAGTGAAGACAAGACTTTGAATTGTATACAGAAGTTCTGTCCTCCCTAGTGCTTTCAGGGGCAGGGGCAGCTGCACCTCACTCCTTGTCCATCAATATATCAAATTTCCGCAAGCATGTTTGGCCACCAAGAGGTGGGCGGCATTCATTGAGCGTGCAGAGTATTACCACTGGTAATGTGTCCTGAAATTACCTGACATTGGCCTTGTCCACACCCATCCCAAAGCTGATAGTGGCGACAATAACTACAACTTTACCCTGCATCCAGTCATTCTGAGCCTCTGTGCGATCTCCCGCATTTAACCCTGTAGAATAGCACACAAAATTAAAACAAATTAAACAATTTAAATATGCTCACTAAGAGACAATAAGGTAGATCTACCTGCATGATAGGGTTTAGCAGACATGCCTAGCTTAGTTAATTGGTGGGCAACAGTTTCACAGCCCTCTCTGGTTCGGCAGTATACGATTCCACAGCCCTGTTTAGAGAAAAGAAATGTTCAGACTTAAGTGTGTTCAGCAGGACAGCCGATAAGCCCCATAAAGGCTTATCAGCTAAAAAAAAATTAGAGAAACATTTTTTAGAAAGCAATACAAAGATTTAAGATGATCTAAATTATCCAATAAAGAAGTATTATTACAAGGATATATATATTTTTGACCTGTTCCGTGGTGCCATTGACCGGCGTGAGAGCTTGTTTGATAAAGGAATGTAGGTGCACGAAAGCATTTGGCAGTAGTTCCCTGAAGATGACGTCGTAGTGCAAGTTACTGCGGAATACGGGTATGACAAAGGACAGCGGCTGCTGCAGCCGGAGAGACTGCACTATGTCTTCCTGTACATTCTTGGGGGCTGTAGCAGTTAGGGCAAGACAAGGCACACCAGGTAACTTAGCCCTCAGATCCCCCAGTTTGAGGTAGTCCGGTCTGAAGTCATGTCCCCACTGAGAGACGCAGTGAGCCTCATCCACAGCCAGGTAGGACAGCAGGCCACGGGAGCACAGCTCAGAGAGGCATGGCTGGAAGGACGGAGAGGCCACCATCTCTGGAGTAATGTACAGCAGCTTGAGCTTTGGACTGCTGCTCTGCAAGTCTGCAAAGACCAGGCGACGCTCTGCAGCGGGCAACTTGGAGTTGATCGAACATGCTGGAATATTTAAGCTTTTCAGCCGGTCAACTTGGTCCTTAAAGAATAGGAAAGTGTTATATATATATGAATATGACATTCATCCACCATGAGCAGCCCTGGAGCCCACCTGGATCAGTGCGATCAGTGGAGATATGACCAGTGTGATGCCTTCTGTCAGCAGAGCAGGGAGCTGGTAACACAGGGATTTTCCAGCTCCAGTGGGCATACACACAAACACATCATTGTCACCTGGACACACACATACACACAATCCTGTTACAGATAACATATACACACAATTAAGATAAGCCTTTGCTGCAGTTATACTGCACTCTAAAGAAGAGAAACTTAGCAGTATGGAATAAACGTTCACACAATGACTATCGCTCGCTATTGTGGAAGACACACCAGCTAACCAATGCTAAGTAGACAGTCTCTAGGGCTAGTTAGCATCCGGAAATAAATATAACGATTCCAGGACTCACGTTTGATGATCGATTTAACCACATCTTCCTGTAGTTTTGATCTAAAGTCGTCAAAGCCAAAATGAGCTTTTAAAGCTTGTTTTAAAGCAGCTGTCATGTTCTGGAGAAATCACCACAGTGCCGTCGCACACCGATGACATCATCACTGCCTTGGTGAGAAAGTCCTGCAATATTATCTGCTTAAATGTTTATATCATGGCATTTTCATGGGCAAGTTTATACATTGGTGATTTTGAATGAGTGCACTGATATAAACTTTTAATAGCAATACAATAACATGGCATTATTTGTAGTCTTTAATGAGACAAGGCATTGATTTGTTCATTTATTGATTCATAAAGAAATGAAAGGACAAAATACTAGATTTATATTGCACAGTAAATTCATAGGCTCTTTAGCAATACTAATAGGTATTTTCTTTTACAAAGCAAATGTACAGAGCAGAAAAAGTGCTTGAATCACTTACAATAGTAGCAGCAGCATACAGGAGTAACACAGCAGATTTCGTTGCATAATGATGGTCTTATATATGAGGATAATTATTTCACTTGATCTGAACTCCTTTAGTTGTATCATGTGCAAGTGCTTTACAGTAACCTCAGGCCCACAGGCAGGAGCCTGGGCAGAGGTATTGGGTCTTAACCACTGGAGCTCTGATTACTAAATCATTGAGGATCTCCACTGTTCCAAACAGTGGGAAGAGCTTCTCTGTGAAGCACTCATTGTATGTGTAAATGTGGAAGCGCCTGTCGACGTCATAGAAGGACAACTGGCCGTGCTCATAGTCGAGGTAGATGCCCACTTTGCGGGAGATGAGCCCTGGGGGCAGAGCGGTGAAGGGCACGGTCAGGGCCTTCAGCTCTGTGCCTCTCTCTAGGCGCAGCGTCAGATATCCAGTGTCAGTGTTCAGAGACTTAAATCCTTTCCTCAAGGATGACTCATTGGCCACGCCCAGACGCCAGTCACGCTCACCCACTTCCACCTCCCAGTAGTGGCGGCCGGAGCCAAAGCCCTCCATGGCCACGGCACACCACCAGCCATCAAACCTCTGGTGGTAGTTTGGTACGTCTTTTCTGTCAAAGCCACAGCGCAGACGCTTGTCTCCTGTAATCAGTAAATCCGGATTGGCAGTGTCCAAGTCCAGAGTTATGTCCACTGCAGGAAAAGAGGGTGTCACTTGTGGACTTTGTTATATAGACTTATTATCGTTACAACACACTTGTGCAGTTTACCTGCAGTGTCAGAGATCCAATCCCACACTGAAAACCACAAGAGATATATTGTTTTGAAACTTTTGACAATAAGACAAGTGTCAAGTCAAACATTAAGTGTCCAATATTTACCTGGCTGAGGAACATAGGGAATGGCACCTGAAGGGAGATTAATGACAGGATTGAGTGTGAGCCAGGCACATTACCTAAACCTCACTGTGCTTTTCATAATGTTTTTATACTGGTTATTATATGAAAATAGTATGGAACTACAATATGATGAAATAACTTAAAGATGGAGTATCTTGCTTGTTTTATTTAAGGAACATTTAGTAAATAAATCAGACTACAACATAATATCTTAATAGAAAATGTTCTATATCTTACATACTGAGAGCTGATTAGTGAGGGAGGGCTCATCCAAGGATGTGTTAGAGGCAAAAAATACATGCAAGTGAAAACTAACCAACACTCCCCCAAGGTAATTAAGCTGTACTAGTTTCTTTACACTTTTGTCATACTACTAGACAAACTTTGTAAGTCTTAAACATAGAGAAGACTTGATTAACTCTTTATATTTAGAATACTAACCCGTTTCGATACCTAAGAACTACTTAGATACATTTCATTACATAGTAATTTCTTTGTGGTTTTGAGGTTGCATGCTTCGGCTTTAAGGCCCAAAATGCATAACATATTTTTATCCAGCCCTCCACATTCAAACCTAAAAGCATCAACATTTTTAATTAAATGTGAGAATATTTATAAAATCCTCAATTTAACCAAGGAAAGAGTTCTGCTATGAGGATGGACATTTAGTTTTGGACTGCCCCCAAGTGGCTGGAGTGTGCATGTTCACTTTGTGATTTTCTCCTGGAACATTTTGTGAACACACCTATTTTCTGGGTCTTCTGTTTCCATAGAAGCCACTGCTGAGGTAGATAATCCTAATTGAAACAACAAAATGAATGTATCCACTGTTAGAATTGTATTTAAGGTTGTAACCACAATACTGCTATCAAAAATGTTTGTGTTGTATATACCTTGTCTGGACTTTGCAGCACCAGAGTCCACATGAGCAGCTCCAAGGCTGACACCAGACTGGGCACACGTCCCCAGCGCCAGGCTGACTTCAGGTCTTCCAAAGTCTTCGCCACGGGTTCTCCAGGCCACACGCTTTGCTACAATATAACCCATAAAAAAACAAATTTTAGGGTTTGTAGAAAAAAAGACACGACATTCATGTACAAAGGTTAACCTCAGGCTGTGCTTTCAGATCTTTGACCCAGTTAAGAATGACAGCCTTGGCTTGTTGCACGTTCTGCTCATTGTAGAGATCATACTCGCTTGTGTCATTCATCTCTGGCCATCCATCACTCTGCATACGTTTCTGAAAAATACATTCAATAAAAATGATCAGGCATCATTTTTGGCCATTGAAAATTATTATGAGACTACTTGCTTTGGTATTTTATGTTTTAGAATGTGAAAAAATATATTCAGTTGAAAACTATAAAGAAGTATGCAGGGTAACTAATGCTAAGGACCTGTAACTCCCTATGTTACCACCTTTTTTATTGGTGTTACTTTTACCTTCTGCTCCAGGATGGTCGCCCACTCTAAAATGGTGAAGCGGCAGAGGAGTGCAGACCAGGTGTCATCATGGTTCCAGATGTGCTCTAGAACTTCAGACCTCTGCAATGGGGAAAATGGACTGAATTGAAATCCACAACCGTTTATTATGTTTATTAGTCATGATGGGGGCTGGTGCAATGTGTACTGGGTGCAGCTCTGACTGACACCCTCCCGACCCAGAAATTGACTAAGGGGAAGAAAATGGATGAATGGATAGTCATGATGGAATACACTCTCAACATCGTCAATACCACCGTTTATATATATATATATATATATATATATATATATATATATATATATATATATATATAATTATTTTTTTTATTTTTTTTTATGAGATTTATTATTATTATAGTAATAATAATGAAAAAATATATATATTTAAGAAAAATCTTCTCATGTATTGGGTTTCAGAGTTCAGAGTCTGTAGAATGTTTGTGGGTGTAACAAAAAGGACTGTGGTGATGATTCAACAGTTTTGATAAGTCCTTCAGGATATCTGCTGTTGTGATTTAGGGCTAAACAAGATTAAATTGAATTGAATTGAGTTGAATTATGTTGAACCTACCCTAACCCTGACCTTGCATTCAACTGTTTTTATTAGCTAAATCTTGTTTTTTTGTACAATTGTAACACAAAGTAGTATTGAAATCACTGTCCAAAAATCTGTTTGAAAATGAAATTATGGATATGAACTTGCTTTGTATGAATGTACGTAATGATTATTATAATAAAGTTGATAATGTATTGGTTTTATATAGGCTCCAGTACTTTCTGGACTAGATAAACCTACTTTTAAGACTTTTTATTTTTATTTTAGCTGAATAAATGTGTCCTTGTGCTCCTCAATGTCCAAGCAGGCCAGGGTCTCTGCTCCTCAGAGTCCTAGATAGTTCATATGGCACTAACCTCTTTGACAAAGACTAAAGTAAATCATTGTATCTGGCAATGTTGGGAATTGAATGCTGTTAACGTTAAAAGCTGCATCTGCTATTGCTAAAACTCTCTTTGAAAATATCAGATATTCTCAACGCCTTTAAAATGTTATGACATCATCTTAAATCACGAGAGGCAATGGCAAAGCTCTAGTCAATGACATCAAGTAGGGGACCCAGGCTTGTTTAGAACGAGACCCACACAAAAATACACACACACAACTAACCACATTTCATCCATGATCTTGTACCTGACAGACTCGGTTGATCTCTTTGGCTAACTCCCCAATGAATAATTGATCCTCATCCAAGGGCTCGGTCTTGTCCTTTTTGTTTTTCTTGTGCACCTCCTGTTGAACAGAAATATTAGTCACTGATGCTCCTGCTGATCCTTAAGGTTCATCAGAATGCACCACAGGCTCTGCTCCTGTCTACAGCAACAAAAAAGGGCTCCCATTTCCTAGAATGCTCAGAACAATTCAGTTCAGCCTTAATAAGGAGAATGTTATGCATGTTGTGGTGGTTGAGAAATAGGCAATAGAAAGTTATTTAGACAAAGATCTGCAATTGTTAACATAATTAATCATACATAATAAAACTAGTGTTGTAACAATACCTCTGGTTTGTTACAAGTTGTTTGTAGTTATTTGTTATGTCCATATTCAATAATTAAATAAATATCACTATTTAATAGCTCCAGAATGTTTAATGCTAGTTCTGATTTTTTGGAATCATTAAAACACGTCTGTGAATATCACACATACTGTTTATGTGTATTTTCTCCAGTATCAACACTTTTGGTTCAAGGTTGAAGGTTCAACTGTATTTATTTTCAACTTGAGGTGAGGAGACGTGAAAAAGGTATACTTACTGGTTAAGAATATGAGTTTGTTTCATTTTTTTTAATGACAAATTTGAAATTTACTGTCTGCAAACTTGGCATGTTATTGCAAAGAACAAAATTTCACCTGAGAAATTACCAAAACTATTTTATGACAATACTTTTGTTTTAGAAGGCAGAAAACTGCTCAGTGTGTGAGGTCAAAGTGGTACAATGACATCATGCTGTTACAGGACTGAGACAGAAACTTTTAGATAGAAGGGGTGGAGTTACATATTTGTTAGTGTTGATGGATCTAAAAACAACTTCAGATATGAGGAACAATGTTGTAATATGGTTAAAAGATTTTGCAGAAATTTGTCTCCTAGCATTTCAAAAAACCATGGGCAAAAACATTTCAGAACTATTGCTTCAGCATAATTAGCATATAGTGGTTTATAGTAGTAGTATATAGTATAGCAGTATATCACTAGAATGAGCCAACAGAACAATAATACATATTGGTTGTAAATATCATTATTATTTGAAGCTTTTCTCCATGTAGATATTATTATTATTAATAATAATAATAAATATTATTATTATTATCATTTTAAAAATATTACTTTCAAAGAACGGTAATAAACACTAAATGTATTTTTATTTCTGGAAAAATAATACATGCATTCCTTCTGCAAACTGCTGGAATGATATAGTATGTTAAAACCTAAATTGTATGAGTATAGTTTATCATACCTTAATCTTTGCCGTCACATTCTTAACTGGTTCGACCATGAAATGAAAGCACTGCATCATCTTGACTGGTGGGAAGGTCTCTCTACAGACAGTTCAAAACATGTTTCAACTTTTTCACTTCAAGGTGACACTTACATAACTCAACCCACATCATCCTTGTTTATCTGAGAAACAACTGCACGTATAATGGCTAATTCAGTCTCCTCTATCCTCTGTAAACGCAAAATACAAAAAATATTATATATTTATAACTATTATCAATTAACTCTGAACATTGTAAAGCCCATTTGATGACCTTGGTCTGTAAAATGCGCTAAATAAATAAACATAACTTACTAACTAAATAGGCACAGCTCTATACTATATGTGCTTTTGCTGCTCAGCCAAATTGAGTCATTAAAAAATAACCAATAAAAACACATTATTGTGAGTTTATTACATATCATTATTTCACCTGCATCCATAAACATCTGGTTTGGGGAGTGAATGACTGCAGCAGGCCCAGGACAGTCAAGACCAGCTGATCAGAGCTTTATAGCGTGGGAAAACATGACAATGCATTTCCCCCCGCGACCCACTTACAGCAACTGCGCAGGAGCTAAACTTGCAATGTGATTATGTATCAAAGTGTTATATATACATATTAGTGTGTATAATATAGTAGATTAGTAGATAACAACTGGTGACTTTATTGCATGTTTAGGAAAATGCACAATACTATTAATCTTGCAGTAAAAATCTGCGTCGTGCGGTGATCTTCAAAAGCACGGTCCGCTGATGTTCCTGCTGTGGTTAGAACAGAGCAGTAGTTTGCATAGAGATGACTTACCTGTGTGTGGAAGTTTACCGAAGTCGTTTGGTCCTGGTTGCGTCTGTCTGTGCTAAAGTCTGCTCTCAGGTAGTGCTGCAGTGTCTGACCTTGTTTACAAACCAGACTGCTCTTCGGCTAATCGGGATTCTCCGTCAGTTTCCGTAAGTGACGTCTAAGTGCGTCAGTGGCGAAAGACAACGCCTTTCGTTAAAACATGATTTGATTCCCTTAGTTGGATATTGCAGTGAAGTTCAGGATGTTACTTCCTGGGTTTTGATAATAGTATTAATAATTATTATTATTAAAGATTTCAACTTTTTACCCAAGGTGACATCGATGGTATATTTAATACAATGTATATGGATTTATAAATTGTGTACAAGCTATATACAATATCTGTATTCAAATAATTGAGAGTAATAGTCTTTACAGCCTTCTAGGCCACTAATTAGCTTTACATATTCAAATATCATTGTAGAATTGTTTAATTGTCATACTTACATTTGCATGCTCCTGGTAGTTTGAGCATGCACAATAGATAGAGATTATTGCTGAAAACTACAGAGCAACAATAAAAGTGAAATATAAGAATAAATGAGAAATCATTGCTTTTCATAAATTAATGATTTGCACTTTATATGCAACTTCAACATTCTGTCACATTTGGAAACTTTGCTAATGAAAAAATGTATCCGTCAATTTTAACAATACAATTATTATATATTTTTTTTAAGTACTTAAACACTCAGGCAGTTCAAACATTGATTTAACAAGAGACATGTGATCTTTATCCAGGACAGACCATAGTGTAGTTCCCTCATTGTGTCCTGGGTCTTTCCAGGAGTCTCCTCCCGGTGGGACAATATGGCAATAACTCTATAAACTGTAGTGTAATTTAAATAAGACAAAAAATAAAGTGCCAAAGGTGAGTCAGTGATTTGAGAGACTCGTGTAAAAATAGAATACACATTCATTAGAAATCTTTTAGTGAGATAACAAATCCAGATACTATTGTAAGTGGTGCCGTTTTTACACAAAAGAAGATAGAAAACAGTATTCTTAATGACACATCAGAAATTAAACACAGAAATACAGTAGAAATCTGACAATTGTGACTTACTTGTGATTAATTCAAGTAGTTTAATTGCAAAACTATTAACAGTGTTGTGCTTTTCCAAGTTATGATACATAAAACAGCATGTCCCTCAAAACAGTGGGTCATTTCAGCAAACCCACCACATTACATGGTCCTTCAGCATGTTTTCACCCACAACTCTAGTCTCTCCCAGGGTCTCATTAATCATTATGCTTTTAAGGCGAGCTTTGAAGCACATTCTTAAACTTTCTTCAGAAGGAACAACATAAGTAAACATTAAGTATTGAGTTGAGTCCATCCCAGAGTGAAAGTCTGATGTCTTTGGTTCTTCTTTGGTTCAGTGGGCCCAAGCTAATGTCACAAAGGTGAAAGCCCATTGCTGGGGTCACAGGGAGCAGCCGGAGGATCCTCATAATTGTTGAATCCGCCGTTGGTGAAGCTCATATGTGGATCTGCTGTGTCCGAACACAACTGATCGGAGCTGTGCAGGACCTCCACAGAACGCCCCACACTTTCCTCATAGGATGGAGGAGGCTTGAGGAGAAAAAATGAAAGATTTTATGATTGGTTTGAATATCAAATGTTATATAGAATACACACCCTCTGATTGACAGTCTCATTCACATACTGTACATCCATGATAAAGGCACTGCATACATTACTCAATAAATACATTAAAGTTTTAACACAATGAAAGCAGTAAATTATAATCTAATTCTACCTTCAGTTTATCTACTAATGCCTGGTTCATTGTTTGTGGGGATCCCAGCTGAACAGATAATCATTACATGTGAACAATTGGGTGCTATGAACAAGGCTCCTCCTGGCGGGGCTAAGGGCCACTGAAAAGTAATCTTTACAAGATGTAGTAGCCCCCTCATTTTCTATCTCAATGGCATTAGATTTTGGCAATTGTTGACATGGCTTGATGGAAATGTGTACGGCCCTAAGGAAAGTAATGAAAAGAAAAAAAACATTGAAAAAGAAAAATGACTTTCATGTAGTGCTGTCACTAATGATTGTTTTATAACTAATGAATCCGGCACTATTCTTTCAAATAATAAATTAGTTGTTCGGAGCAAAACTAATCGAATAATGAATTTGATTAGCGTCATTATCATAAATGATAATGACACTCAAAGACACATGGCATTTATCTTCCACTTCATACACAGTGGTGATAAACTACTACTGTAGCCAGAATTGCAGAAGTGAGACAATCAGTATGAGCCAGCGGCAGCTACTACCACCACCAACCATTCATACATCAGAATTATTCTGATTCTTATTTGTTCTTTACTGCCGCATCAGTCCCACTGTGGCACCTGCTGTTCCGGAGGACTCCCGACACAGTACTAACCAGACCCTACCCTGCTTAACTTTAGAGGTCTGTCAGGATCTGGCTTTCATATGCAGGTAGCTCACAAAAAGAGTAACTGACAAATGAAATTCAACCAATTACAGAGGCGTATTTTGTGTGATTTTGTACTTGTGTGTATTTTTGAAGAAGCATGACCCTTCCCAAACATGCATCAAATAAAGACTGCATTTCATTGCAGTAGTTAAGTTAAGGACCCTTCAAGCAGCAGCAACAGCCCCAGAACTTAGCCGCCCCAGGCTTTGAGACAGGGAAAGGAAATATAGGGGCCACTGTCTGTCCAAATGACCCAACAAAATAACACAAAACTGCTCTTCTATAAACACTGGTAGGCTTTGTGATGAATGGAAAAGTCCAGACACAGAAGAAAAAATACAATAGTGCTCCGAGCCACTGTTTTCACTATTTGATTGTCCTTATCTAATGTTGTTTGTTTGCCATTTCTGCAGAGAAAGATAAACACTTCAGTCACAATGCAGAAGCGTGCATCAAACAGGTTGATAAGGCTACACGGCCATCTTTGAACAGGCTCCTCTTAAAATATTGATCTACTCGTAATGACATGAGCCTGGTGGGCTTATACAGAGATATCATCATGCGATAGATGTACAAATAAAAATAAGGCATTTGAAACAAACATAGGGGCTGATAATTAATGCTTTTCTCTTCAATGTTGATATCATTGTTAATTTTTGGGGTTGTAATTAATAATATTTCATCTGATTTATTTAAGTTAAAAAATTGGGGCGACAGTGGCTCAGTTGGTAGAGAATTATCCTTTGAGCCTGAAGGTCGTGGGTTCAAGCCCACCGTGAGACCTTCTCCACCCACTGATGACTGCTGTCGTTGTGTCGTTGGGCAAGACACTTAACCCCACTTTGCCTGAAGCCCCCGCTGAAAGATCAAGGCCATGCCATAGAGCTGCCCTCCTCCGGTGGACTCACCACCTGCAGGAGGATCAGTGAGGGGCTGGTGCTATGTGTACTGGGGGACATCTCTGGCCACCCCCCCGACCCAGAAACGGATTAAGGGGTAGAAAATGGATGGATGGATGGAAGTTCAAAAACTGTTGTTGCTATGTGATAAAACTATTTTGAATCAAGCCCCGGCGTTCCAAGATGGCATCCTATTCAAATCAGTGGCTGATGCTCAGTGGCGCATGTGCACCCATTGGGAACCGAGAGATTAGACCGAGAGATGCGTCGCGCCAAATACACGTATGTGGCTCTCATGCACATGTACAGAGTGGCTCGGCCGCGCTCTGAACAATTGGAGCTGCTTATCAGAGCAGGAGTTAGAGAAGGAGCCAAAAGAGCAGAGTTTGTTGCAAATGTTTTCGAACTATACAGATTGCCATTTACTGCCATATAAGTACAATATATTCACTGAGAACAACATAAAAAAGATTTTAAGCCAGCTATCAACTACGAAAAAACATTTATAGACAGTATTTCCGAATAAAATACCCTCCATATCATCCCAAAGTAAAAATGTTTTTATTATTTTGGTGTTCTTTGGTATAACACGAAAAAAATAATTTGTAGGGGGCGCTATTGTTTAAAGTAAATGCCCCGGTTTGCACATACCAAGTCCGATTTGCACACAAAATCACTAATTATAATAATTTTTAGGCATTCAAAATGCAGTGTCACTCCCATCAGGGCTGTAGGAAGATGGCGTGTCAGCGCCACCTTCTTTGCACAGTGCGGCAAGGGCCATTTGATGCCGCTTAATTATGTTTATAATTGATTCTTCAAAAAAATACACAGAATCTGCTGTGGTAAATTTGCAGTGTCTCTGGTATGCAGATTTTTGTAGTAGTTTACCATTAGTAAGATGTGGGTAATCTGCAGACCAGATAGCCTTTGCAGAACAAATAAGCCCATTTTCCACTTAATTGAACAATATTAAATGTTTTGATCCTCTTAACAGATTGAGCGGTACCAACGGTGTATGAACTCTGCAAATCTACAGCAGATCGATAAAATTTATAAGATCTTATGTAACGCACTTAATGTATTCCATTTGTCACTTATAAAATAAAATTGTAAATGCAACACAATTGTGTATTTGTATATGCTCAGTCGAGATGTTTCCATTATAGAGCAAGGTTATTGTGTGTTTAATTGTTAATGTTTATGTATGAAAGTAGATCAAGGTTCTTCAGCTGTCTATTTAGTTAGAGCAGGAGTGTCAATTATGCGGCCCGCCAAGAGATTTGATACGGCCTGCGGCTCATTTATGTAAAATTATTTATATATATATATATATATATTGATTTAAATCCCGTCTGCGACGCTTACCTTAGCATTGCCTATGTAATGGCTCCCACCAGAGCGTGCTCTGTGACTCACAGTGACAGCGTCAGCAAAATTTCTGAAAAGTGACAAAAAGTGTCGGGATTTTCAAGAAAAGTGGACTTTTTCTTATTTGTTTGCGGAGGTGAATTAAACACCTGTATGCTCGGTGTGCATGCAACAAGTGGCGGTGCTGAAGGAATATCATCTTAGCACTCTGAGGTTTCCCTGAAATGTAAAGTGCATTATAAATAAAATGTATTATTATTATTATTATTAAACCACGAGACTCAGCGGAAAATACGGCAATTTGAGCAGAGAATTTAGAAGACAGAAGCTAAACATGTCTGACCCTGTTTGTGCCCAGAGCGAGAGGTTAGCGATGCCACTGTAAAGGCAAGCTACCTGAGTGCTATTATCATCACAGCCGTACAGTTTTTCAAACCTCTCATACAGTCTGCAGAAATGGTGTGTCCTGAAAAACGACACGCTTTTACCAACATCAGCCTTTCCAGGTGCAGCAGAAAGGATTTCAGAACTAGCCACAGATGGAAGTCGTGTGTGGCATTTTCTGTTGCCATTGGTGTTACTGAAACTTTAACTATAACAGAGGAGATTTTAGCGTTGGTGCCTGTTTTGGATACCACAACAGCTGAGGACACCATCAGTGCTGTTGCCGGTGCTGGTGCGTTGAACAGTGTGAACTGGTCCTATAGGCGGCTGCATATATAAAAAAAAAACCTAACCCTAAAAAAATTCTCACAAAAGGTTTCTCAGATGTTTTTTGGAGTATTGAGTATAGAGTTAGGAAATGTTAAGGGCTTCCTGCCCATCTTGAAAATTACACCTTTCTAGTAATCTTGGTGTCTAACCCCATGTTTTCTGGGTCTATGAATCCATTGGACTTGTCTAAATTGCACTGAGATTATTACATACTTATGGAATACATGATTTTGTGATATTACTGCAAGGTTTTATTTTTGGGGTGAACCATTCTGAAGTCCTTAAAGTAATTGATAAACATTCCCCATTTAATCTTTTTAAACGTCGAGACCAAGCTTTTACTAAATACAGAGAATCTAAGGACGACTGGGAGATCTAACTCAGGAATCAATCCAAAACCCAAACTAGGAATGCCAAGTCCAATTACTATAATGATGACCTCAGTCTGAACTACAATAATCCTAAACTTTTGGAAACACCTGGACCAGCTTCTGGGTAGGTCCAAAAGAAACTTAAACAATCATGTTACTGTTAATAATACTACAATTGCTGATCTTAACTTAATCTCTGACTGCTTTAATTAAAGCTGCACTGACTGACTTTATTTTCGTATTCATTACGAAAATGCTATCCATGTCCATGTAGTGCATTGGGATATACGTCCTTTTGAAGAATAATTAGCGCAGATTTGTGCTGGCGCGACATTATATTTTAGATCGAGTTTTGATGAAACAAGGAAGAGAATGTGTTTCGGGTCGCTGATTGTGACCAATCACAGCGGACCAATAGCCCCCACTTTCGTGAGAAATCTACAGGTCCGTTAGCATAGACGGCTGAGTTAGCACAACAAGCCGAGGAGCTAACCTGAAGCTTCGTGTCTTCATCACCGGTTACTGCTTACTTAGCGAAACAGCCATCCAAAAGAAAGTCCCGTTCCTCCGCGCTTCCCGGTTCTATCGTTTTATGGTCACGCCATCCACGTGCAAATCCATATTCATGTATTATCCATATTGGGAGACACTAGCTCCGTCCCAACAGTGAGTGTGTGTGGGGGGCGATAGCTTCGTGGGTGCGGGGAGGGGAGCAGAAAGAGAGAGGCCAGCGGGTCCGCGGCTTCAAAATCCCAAAGTCAGTTA